CAACACCCAATTCAATCATTTCATGTACCAATTGTTAAACAATATTTGTTATTGATTTTCCTCATTTCAACTGACTTCCGATTTGGACTCTACAACTACGCTACTATAATCATCCTCTTTGCTTAGTGTTCATAGGGCTTTCAAAACCCTTTTATTTAGGAAGTAGTTGGCCCATCCCGCTTCCTTGTCTGTTCTAATTAGGGAGCTCCACCAACACCTGCCCACGATGGGAAACTCTTTTGGAATTTGACACACCAGTGGCACAGATTTCAGTATCATAGCAACCCCAAGTAATCTCAGTACATCAAACTGACAGACAAGTGCTGGGAAAATCAACAGTTAGGGAACTTCCCTAATTATTAAGGAGTAGTGATGTCAGTTTGAGGATTAAGGTGAGTCTGATTCAGGCCATAGTCTTTCTGATTATTAGCTATGCATCCAAGACCTGGACAATGAATAAGGATGACAGAAAAAGAATTGACGCCTTTGAGCTGTGGTATTGGAGAAGAGCACTGAACATCCCATGGACAGCCAAGATAATAGACAGATATGCCTTAATATATGTCTTAATGGACAGATGTTGCAACCAGAGTTCTCTTTGGAGGCAAGAATGATGACACTTTACCTCACATACTTTGGACATGTTGCTAGGAGATTCTAGTCTTTGGAGAAGGACATGATTTTGGGAATGGTGGAAGTTCAGTGAAAGAGAGGAAGACCCTCAACCAGGTGGATTGACATGGTGACTGCTACAGTGGGCTTTTGTGTGTCAGGAAGTGTGAGGATGGTGCAGGACAGGACTGGGTTCAGACCTTTTGTTCACAGAGTCGCTATGAATCATACTCAACTCGATGGCACCTACCAACTACAACAACAATCAACACCATTGTAATAGCAGTCAAGAAAAAAATGGATGATTTACATTGGGGAAAATCTACTGTCAAAGACCTCTCCAAAGTTATAAAGAGCAAAGATGTCAATTAAAAGACTAAGGTGTGAGTGAGTCAAGTCTTAGTATTATCAATTTCTTCCCATGCATTTGAAAGTTGGTCATTGAATAAGGATAACCAAAGAAGGATTGGTGCCTTTGAATTGTAGTGACAACAAAGGAAAACTCATAGACTGTCAAAGAACAAAGAAGGGCAACCAAGTTGCTCTATAATAAGGATACCACGGTGAGACTCCAACTCAGACACACTGGACATTTTGTTAAGAGGGGCCAGTGCCCAACAATTAATGAATGGATAGAGAATAATATGCAGCACTGAAAAACAAGGAACTCATGAAATAGTATGCAAAATGGATGACCCTGGAGGACATTATGCTGAGTGAAATATCTCTCTCACAAAAGGACAAATATTGCATAAGGCCACTGTTGTAAAACAGGACTGACATCGGGGTTGAGAGAAGACAGAGAAGGAGGGGAGGAATGATGCATACTGCATTGAAACAGATGAGGGAGAGAACTGTTTAAAAGGGATATATGATTAGGTATTACTGTCATGACAGGAGTCCAGAATGAAGGCTGCACAGTGGAGTGGACTTGAGGGGATGTATTGCATAACAATAGAAGAGTTTGTCTTTTAATTTTCAAGGATAAGAGTGAATTAGGAGAGAGGGGGTGTGCAGGGAGAAAAGTGTAACAATGAATGATTGGAAACCCTAAGTCTCTGTAAACATTCATTAAAATTAATTTTTTTAAAAAAGAGGGGCCAGTCTTTAGAAAAAGACATCATGCCTGGAAAAATGGAGGATCAGAGAAAGAGAGGAAGGTCCTCAGGAAGCTGGACTGACACAGTAACTGTAATCGTGAACTGCAGCATGTCAGAGGCGGTGAGGATGGCTCAGGACAGGACAAGATTTACATCCCTTGTTCACAGGATCGCTGAGTCCTAGAGA